ATTCTCCTGCCAGTGAGTATGTGCAGCCAGGCTGGTAGTGCAGAGGTGTGGGTAGCAGCCACAGTCTGTGACAAGCAGGTTATGGTAGTTCAGGCAGAGATATGGTAATCAGGAGTTCCCATGGTTCAATTTCCATTGGTCATTCTCAGCTTGCACCTCCATTTCTGAAAATGAGTATTCTAGCACACACCGTGTTACTTAGCTGCTGTTTGCAAAGCATGAAAAATACCTTTCAACCTACTGCTTATGGGTGACATCTCTGACACTTGTGATCCTCTCCCATCAGTGTGGGCTGACACAGCTTAGCATTTCCTTTTAACAGGCTCCCCAGAAAGATAAAACATACTCGTAGCATGGACATGGAAAATGTGAGTTAGCAATGAGGAGTGTGAAAACCATCTGGGCAGGAGGACAGAGGGGAGGTTGCTGGTGACAGTGCCATTCTTACGCAGAGGAGTAGTGCTGGCAGCCTGCATGTCAGCTGTGCTCCCAAGGCTTACGTCTGTTGCACCCAGGTTCTACCGCTTGCAACAACCACGAGTGGCTGCGGGTTTGCCAGAGGCTTACCCTGATCTGTGCTGGCTGCCTGTCATCTCTGGCCAGGGATTATGATACAACCACATCCCCTGCCTCGGTGATGAGTAAGGAGGTACCAGCAGCTAGGTTAGATTTTCCCTGTTTCTGCCTTCTTTGGAGGAGGTTTCAGCCAGCCAGCCCACCTCATACACTGGATCTTTAACGAAGACGAGTTACCATTAACACGAGGGTCCTTGCACAAGCTTTTGCAGCGTAGCACTCAGATGTCCCCATGACAAGCCTGGTAAAAAAGGCTTAGCTCTGCTGGCGGGCGAGAGGCCATCTGTCTGCATCCCACGCACCCACGCAGTGTTTCGTATCCTGATCAAGAAGAGCAAACAGATGGCACTTCGCCGTGTGAAACTCATCTTGAGAAATGCAAGCTGCTAATAGTAAACACTACAGGGCTTGCTTTTTCTTGAGCTGAACAAGGAGCGAGGAGGGGGAATAGGGGCTGTTTCCGAGGGTGCTGGACAAAGCAAGGGAAGCCCTAGCCCCGCAGGGTGGTGTGTGACACCCCGTAGGAAGGGCCCCTGTTTGCGAGAGGTTGTAGAGCAGTCGGATAGTCCCTCTGCTTTTAGGGGTGCCGTGGCTTGATTTTGCTCCCCCCCGTTCTCTCCTTCCACCCACGTAATTGATTTTGCCAGTGACTCACCGCTCGCATTGACTCTTTGCTTGTTCCTTTTCTCTCACAGGCCAGGGAAGGAGAAGTAGCCATTATAGATAAAGTTCTGGATAATCCAGCTTTGACGTCTAGAGACTTTCAAGAATGGAAACAAGTGTACCTTGATCTCTTCATGGACATCTATCAGAGCAGCACCCCGAGGGACTCTGTTAATGGCTCCTCTGAGGTTGATGCACTTATAGCCTCCATAGCGCACACTCACTCTTACATTGAAACACATGTATAAAGGTCCCTCTTTTTGCCCATTTGCTACACCCCAGCCCTTTACTTAAGTGCATAAAGTAGTTTTTATATCAATATGTGGGAGCTCTAGTAAATTATATTTTAATGTTACTCAGCTGCGTGAAGTAAACCTTCAGTGGTCAACAATACCACGTCTTTAATGAGGATTTGTATATTTTATATGCTACCAATGCTCCGCTTGTGTTTACCTTCTGTGAAATAACAAACATGATCTTTAGCTATTAAAGAAAAGTATTTAAAAGCATTTTTGGAAGACTGTGGCCTTCATGCAGGAAGTTCCACAAGCTAAAGGTTTTGTTATCGAAGGTCACTTTTACAATGATATTTTATATTATATAATTCCAGTATTGCATTGCATTTTTGGAGTGCAGGTACTATTTTGGTGGTGGGAGAAAACCAATTTTTATATTTAATGAGAAACTCTAGGAGTTTTCTTAAACAGCAGGGAAAAGGTATAATGTAGTGGTTGTGTTTCAATTTTGTCAAACACAGAAAAGGGTGAAAATCAGTAGACAGAAGTGACTAATGTGAATTTAAGTATCAAAAGGTTAGGTCTTATTTCCTTGTGCTTTAGTAAAGCCTACTGCTAAGGTTTACCATCAGTGCAAAGGGATGCTGGTTTGTATTCTAAATAAGACCAAATTATGTGTTATTTGTCTCTTAATCACATTGGGATGATTTTTTTAAATATTAGTTATGGTACTGTCATTTCTGATGCTTTTGTACTGAACGTATCAGTAGAATGCGTAGATTTTGCAAAAGAGAAAATGTAGACTTTGAACATCCGTGATGGCGTCATTTCTCCTGCCCAGAAACGTAGCAGTGGAAAAGGGTCCCAACGAAATGCTCCAAATCTGAGAGACTTTGAAAATTCCCACAATAGAATAGGAATGAATAGGATCTTTCAAGTAGTCTGTGTGTTTTCTGAGCTGTGAAATTTGGCTGTATTGTATGCAGGGAAAACGTTTGGTGGGAGCAGAGGTGAGCACAGAACCTGAAAAATAGCTGAGGAGTAAAAAAGCCTCTGGTTTGCTTTGAAGGGGAGGGGATCTCTGGGTTCTGCTGAGTTCACCAGCCAATTCAAATGTTTTAAACTTCCATGAGATTTGAGATGTACTGGAGACAACCCAGTGAATAGAAATAGCTCCTTTAGAGTCTGGCACATACCTGGAATAGGAAAGTGGGAGGGAAATCTTAAATCACGTACTTACTTTTTATAGGCTTGTTTTCGAAAAGTGATCAGAGCATGACAAAATATTTCTGCTGCTTTTCAGTATTTTGCTGCATAAGTTAGGACTCATAACATGATTAATAATGCTCATGTGAAAGGGAAAAACCTCCTTTATACTTTTTACAGAGTTGTACTCTTTGCCAACTTTAGACTATTGCCTGTACAGCTCGGTGAATGTACTTTAAACTTTATGAGCTCTGATATTTCCTGGCAGTTATATCCATGAAAGGATGAAGGAAAGAATGGACAGATTTATTTTCTCTCTCCTCCTTTCTTTCTTTTTATTCTTCTCTCTTTCTCTCCCTCTTTTTCTCTCTTTCTTCCCTTCCTCTCTTTCTCTGTTTCTTTCTTTTTCTCTTTCTTCCCCTATTTCTCTCTTTATTTCTCGTTCTTTTATTGCATTTGGATTGCAAATGTTTTGCAGATTTTGCACAATTGTACAGAAGAGTGGCCTTTCTGTAGCCCATTTTCAGTAACCCTGTATTCAAGTCAATATGGATGACAAATCATGTATTAAGGTTTGTATAGAATTCTGGATCCAGTGTAATATTTGTATCATTAGAAGAATATTGTTTGTATAAACTGGACATTTATTTACTGCATGGGTACTGACTTGTATATTAAATTTGTGAGGTTTTTGTAAATTTCTCTTAAAAATGCTTGACTTGAAATGGATTGTGCTATAGTTCCAAGCATTTAGATTCTCTTGCTATCGTTTTACTGGACCAAAATTAAATATATTCATATAAAAAACTCTTTATATCTGATGGATGTATATGCACATTGTGTAGTTGATTCCTTGTCAAAACCAAGGCAGTTCAGGAGACTTAGATCTGTTGCTATGCAACAGCTATTCTGCCTGCACTTTACATTAGTAAAGTCAGCTTGATTGCTTTAAAGGTGAAAATTAAACATTGCAGTTTTTTAAGCTAGTCTAGTGACAAAGAATATGTGTCCTATCCGTTGTGCTGCCTTCTTTTAAGACTATTAAATGTTCTTCTATATATATTTTTATTGTATTAACTCTCAGCCTAGAAAGGGAACACTGTAAAATGAAGTACAATAAATTTAGCTTTTAAATGAACATTTGTGACTCAAGATTCAATTTGCTCTGTACCAAAGTGATTCTGCGGCATCTGACCATTTTGTCTGCATTTCACAGACCCACGTACATTAAAGTACCCCCATAAGATGTGCCTTTGAACTCTGCCTACATGGCCAGAAAGAAGTGAGAGTATTGCTGTTTCGTATGGAGGCAGACACTGAATAAAGACTTCTGAAAACCTTCAGTTACCTCCCTCCCGCATCGTACTCTTTGATGAAAGTAAACCCTTTTTGACTACAGGATTCTCTCACGTACCAGTTCAACAGCTATGAACAATTTTACCTTTATGAGTCGGTCTGATAAAACAGCATATGCTACTGAGGTAAGTATCAAGGCATTAGTTACAGCAACTCCTGTAACAAGTTTCTCAGAACCTAATAATAAGTATGCCCATTCAGCTCTGGCCATCTAAACTAACACAAGGTTTGGCTACAAAACAAATGTACTGTACCGGTAGTGTGCATCTTTAAAATTACACAAAATAAGCATCTGAAAGGCAGGCTACAACAAAGGACGCTCAGAGAGAAACAGCTTCTATCAAACAATCATTGTTTCAACTTATGGCCATAACTGGGTCTACATATCAAAAAGTCCGTGCTTTCTGTCCAGTAATTTTGTGCTGGTTAACTCAGACATTCTTGCCTAGCAGGTAGCATATCAAATAATACCTTTTCCTTGGCAGGACTTATTATTAGTTCTCGTAGGCATCGATTTTCTAGTCTTTACACAGCTCACTTTCATTTTGCTTAGCCATAGCATAAAAATTCAATAGCACTTACCAGCTGGGAAAATTACCTCTGATTAAGAAAACAGAAAAGATGGATTATATTTTTTAACCTTTGAAAAATCTGATTTGCAACACCTATTAATTGCTACCTAGGTATTATTCATCAGAAGTCAAGAAGTACGATTCTCGCCCGTCTAAGCATGCTACTTGCTACATCCTCAGTGAGATCAGCTGCCAGCTCCATAAATCCCAGCACCTTTTCCCATGCTGGAGCCAGACTTCCTTGCCTGTTTCCACCACGCAGTTGGCTCATCAAAGCAAAACCGCCGCTCTGTCACGTTCGGTGCCACTGCAGTTTTCTTCTTCTTCTCCAGGGCCGCCCTGCTGGCTCGTCTCCTGGGATGGTTATTCCTCAGCCTCTGAGCTCAGCAGTTCAGTGGCCTCTTCTGCTGTCGCTCTCCTGCTCGTCGGCCAGTTCAGAGAGTTGCAGCACTGCACATTGCATCCCGCACCAAGGCAAGGGCGCTTTGCAGATCTCTTCCCAGCCATCATTGTCGATGTCGTAGCCAACCACGTCTTGCGTGGGGACTTCCTGTGAGTTTTGCCATTTCTTTCCCCCGATAAGAAGAGCCGTTTCCTCTACCACTGCCAGGCCATAGCAAAATCGATCATAGATCAAGGGCCTTAACCGAGTCCATTGGTTTTGATCAGGGTCATATCTTTCTATTTCAGAGAATGGTTCATATAATCCTAAAAAGGTGAATATGGCTTCTCTGATTGTTGCCATCTGATGCCCAAACCGAGCAATGTTCATGGGGGCTTGTTTCATCCACTGTCCTTCAAGTGAGCTCAGAGAATATACATCCTTGCTTGTGTTGTCTAGGTCTGAGTACTTGCCGCCAGAGATGTAGATAGTATTCTTGCAAATGGCACTGGCGTGGCCATGTATCTTGCATGGCAGTTCCTTGGCCTTTGTCCATCTGTCCCTGCTGATGTTGTAGACTTCCACAGACGAATGCAGCGACCCGCCCTCACCCTTTCCACCAATGGCAATGATATCCTTGCCTAGGACACTACAAGAAAACTGGCATCTCTTTTCCAGCATGCCTGTGATTTGGGTCCACGTGTTAAATCTCGGATCATAACGGTGGACCTTGTTTGTAACCAATAAGATCTTTTCGGTTTTAGCGTCACCTAGGGCACAACTTTCTATTTCCCCACCCAAGACATAGAGGAAATTCCCCACCACACACACACTGTGATTCTGCACCCTGTCCTGCACCTGAGTGAGATCTCGCCATTTGTGATTGTAAACGTCGAAGGCCACCACATCGGTGACGAGCCCCTCGCTCGCTGTCCCTCCCCCCAGCAAAATGATTCGAGTTTTCTGGTTCCTCAGCGTGGTGGACTTATCCTGCAGGACAGGCTGTTTGAAAACAGATGTATGGTAATTTATTGCTTTAATGATCAAGCACTTAATACCTGCAGAGAGGGGCACTTCTGACTGTGTGTAGGTTTTTCTCAGTTCCTCCACTGGGATGAGGCCATATCTGATATGCTCTAAAAGGCTGCTTGCGTGAGCCAACCTGGATTTATCATGCACAAGCCAAAGCAGCACAAGATTCAGCAGGCAGGTTTCTTTCACCATGGGAAGATCTGGTGATTCAACCACTGCTAGCAAAGACCTGAAGTTCAGCTCCAGCAGTCCTGACAAATCCAAGTCCAGCAGCTTCCAGAGATTATTGACAATGTATTTTTCTGTTGCTGTTAAGGCGTCTGGCAGGTAGAACCTCCTGGCCACGTTGGCAGAGTAGCAGCAGTTTTCCAAGGCAAGATTGTTTACTAAATACTGATTGCACAAGCCAATAGCATCAGTCACTTGCAGGTAGCTTGCAGCTTCCAAGGTATCTTCCAGGCTTTCAAAGGAAAGGGGCAACAAGGAAGTGTAAATGAAATCCAGGACATGCTGGAGGCCGGTAGGTGAGACAACTTGCAGGTGAATTACACTGGCTTTAGACTCTTGGGTGTAACTTTTGAACATGGCTCGGAAATAGTCGCTGGAGCATGCCAACAAGGACTTGTGTGCCGGAAACTCGTTTTCCTTCACTTTCAGCAAAATATCACAAAGAAAGCCCTCTGATCTCAGGGTCTGGTACTGGGCGAGCACGGCGGTGCAGTGCGTTTTGCAGTAGGACAGGAAGTAGCTCATGGTAGGCAATGCAACACTTTCCCCTTGAGTTATTAAAGCTAAAATGCAATTAGATATTGAAACAGCTGCCCGGTTCAACAGCCATTGCTTAAATGCCCAGCAGACCTCCAGCTGTTAAGAGTAAAGCCCAATGAAAAAACAGTAGTAATCAGTCTCTTGCCTGGCACAGGGGGACAGTTAGTAGATTTGTAGTGAATTCAATGCATTCCTTTAGAGAAAAAACAGCTGAGTGTCGTAACAGCTGTGGGATGCTTACTTCTCTCGCCTCCGCCGCTTGTGCAAGGATGAATGGTCCACGGCTGTGCTGAGCACTTGCTTGGCTGGCCATCAGGTGACAGATGAGGGAGCTAGATGACAATCCTAACAAATGACACTTTGTGTCTGCTCAGCCGTCGCCCTCGAGACGTCTTGCTCTGCGGGCAGATCGAGTAGATCCTCTCTGGCTGCCAGCTCATGGCTCCAAGCAGACACAGGCGAGAAGGGAGCGCTGGCTTTTCTCCTCTCTCGTTTGTATTTCCAACTCAGATAAGTTTAGACCGCGCCGTCCCTGGGACAGCAGCCCCCTTTTCGTCCTCTTTTCACACTCTCTTAGGAAGCCTCCACTGAAGATCAAACCAGCGCCCAGGGATTATTACATGAGGATTTTCTGAGCCCATCAATCTTTGCCCAGCAGGCACTAAGACAACCAAAATATCATGATTAGTCACTGGTTTGATTTGACATGCATTTCTGGGCTCTTTGCTTCACATGACACCGCCATAGCGCACAGCTACCAGAATAGCTGCAGGCGCATCCCCCCTGTCCCCCCTGCCCCAGGCCGACCCCGGGCCGGCGAGCAAAGGGGCCAGGGGCCAGGCGGATGGAGGAGCTTCCACTGACAGCCACGGCCAAAGCAGCTGACTTGGAATGACCTGCCTGGAAATCACAAGGGTAACACATTCTCACAAAGCGGTGACAAAAATAGATTCTCCCAGTTCAGCTGTAATAAGCCGAAATCTGTTCATAGAGGAGGCTTTGCATAATTGTGCTCTCGATTACCAGCCAGGAACAAACCCGGAGCCCCCAGGGGTGGGCTGGAGCTGACTTGCTCAGCTTTCTCACTTTCAGTTTGTCCCAATTAGAAGCACGTATACGGGGATTATCCCTGATTTTCACCCGGGCCCTTCAGGGTCTAATTTCTACCAGGAATAGTAGCTCTGGGCGGGCCACACATTCTGACCTCTTAAAGCTTGCTTTTATTTTTCTTTTATTTTCCCTACATAACTCTGGGTGGAGGTGTTCAGGAATCTCCTTCTGACACCTTTCTTTCCAAGTCAAACACACTCAGGACTTGCAAACCTTGACAGGGTTGATAAATGCCTGACCATTTTGCTGCATCATGAGCCAGCAGACTTGGGGACAGAGAAGGATCCCACAGGACTGAAAATTTTCACCTTTTGCTCAAGCCCAAGGTAAAGCCTTTTTACTGTATTTGCTTATATTTATTTATGTGATGTCATGAAATTCTGGCTCACCCCTGTAATCGAGAGGTGTTTGGGAGCTGACTGGACCCTCATGTGGCTCATTCAGGCTGTGTGACTGTTCTAGGTGAGTTTAAACTGTCTTTTTAAGCAGCCTGATATCTACATGTGCTCTAATCTGTGGGGAAGGACTCCAATAACATCATTCTTCATTGCTGTATAGTTCTGAAATTTGATTTCCTGCTTGAATCCACTTTCCATCATGGCATTATAGACCATATTTCAGGATCTTGCTAAGAAATCTTCCCCTCTTGCTAGCAAAATGACATGTATGGCCAGTGGGGATGAAGGAGGAAAGGGATGCCTTGCTTCCCTTTCCCAGTGGTTTTGCCTATGTCCAAGTTGGGACAAATCTAAAATATTTCAGACATTGTTAGTGAAGCTGTGCAGTTGAGTCCAAGCTTCTGGTTTGGTGCTTTTCCTGTTTTGGACAAACCAGAGACCAGGTACGTCTGTCACCCTTCGGCAGTCATGCGTGCTGGTGATGAGAGACCAGGCCTTAAATGATCCCACTCCTAAAGATACTGCTTTCCCCAGTTTAACCCCATAAGGTACCAGATTTCAGTAACACGAGGTGCAGATAAACCTCCACCATTTCAAAAGAGCAAGCCAGCCATCACACTGGCCCCCGGAGACTGAGCGGTGAGCACAGAGGGGCACAGGGGCTGAGCCTTCAGCGCAGGATTGAGTTTGAGGAGCATTTCTGCAGCAGTTCTGGCATAAGCAAGTCCTGGCACCACCTCCTCTTCGCCAACAGTCCTTGCTCTCCATCAGCCCTTCGCCTGGACTGCCACGGCTGCTCTGGGGTGGGGGGCTGGGAGCTGGGGCAGCCGAGAACTGAAGCTCAGAGAGGAGTGAGGGGAAACCCAAAATTTCAGCAGCAGAGAGGTCTCTGTAGCTTCTGTAGAGGTCAGGTCCTCAGCCTCCCTCACTGTTTGGCCTCCCAAGCAGAGGTAGTGTCCCAGTGCAGAGCGCAGCAGAGGTGAGCCACTGGCTGGGCAGGCAGCTGGGGACCCACCACTGGGAAAGACCCTTGGTACGTGACGCCCACCCCATGCACAGAAACTGGTCTGTTGTTACTTTGTGTACGCTGGTGAGCCATAGATGCTGGGACTGAAGACACATAATTGAAATCTACTTCCCCCGGACCCAGAGGTACCAGAAAGGGGTCAGAGAATGTGGCTTGGGCAACTGTGGGCATTGCCAGCAGCAGCCAAAGCACATTCCCCCCATCAAGTGATGCCCTCCCAGGTAAAGGCAACGTGCCCTTTCCTCTCCCTCAGCAAAGCCAGGCCAGGCGCTACCCAGGTTTGCTCTGGCTTTGCTGGCAAGGCCAAACTACCAGCCCGGCACCAAGCACAAGCGCTGGGCCTTCCGAGAGGCTGGGGGAGGCTCCGTCTGAACGTCCATGTCCGTGCCCAGAGTGACGCCACGTTAACCAAACTGGTAGCGCATCACTTGGTCTCCAAATGAATTGTGTACGTGGGCTGCAGTTCATGCAGGTCAGTTGCCAGCTGATCACAGTGCACTGCCACAGGAGACAGCGCTGATTTAACCGACCTGATGTGACACCAGTGCTGGATAAAGCAGGTCCTACAGCTGTATGCATGTTTGCTGTGCGCTTCCCTCTCAGACCTACTTCATCTTCATGGCCAGCCAGCTAATAGAAATAGTAAGAATCACGATCCTTATAAAGCTGTTTATTTGTCCAGAGAATTCTTTTTCTTTCACTTATAATTGAAATAAAGCCACATCCTTTCCAGTTCCTTGCTCTGGAGTGACAAAAAAAAAAAGATTATCGTTATCAAAATGAGGTTTCTCCTTGCTTCACTTTTAGGCAGTTACTTCTGTCCAACTAGGGAGCCTACTCAGCCAGCACCCTCCTTTGTCAACAGACAAATTATCTCCAGGTGACAGCTCAGGTCTTTGCCACCTTTGGAGGAATATTTAATGTCCATTATCAAGAGAGCAGACAGTGACTAAATGGTTAACTTATGAATCTCAGGAAGAAACTTAACACTAGGTGGGATGCAGTCAAGCCATCTTATTTTTCTCAGTCATAATTTGGAAGATCAGATCCAATGTTTGACACTCTAGGTGGTGCTTAAAATTAGGGAAACATTAGTGTTTTGATGATATCGATTTGCTGGGAATAGATATTACATTTTTAATCATGTGCATCGTTTAGACTTTTAAATAGATTTAGATTTCAGGATTTTTGTATATTTTCTGTTGAAATCATTGCTATACTACAGTAGACAGTCGACAATAAAAAGCATTATTCAGAGGTGTGCTGTGAAAAACGCTGGCGTCCACGTTTGCAGTTATTTTTTTTTCTATACAAAGCTGAAAAATGTCCTGAATTGCAATGCCACGTTCAATTTAATCTTGCAAGTAGGCCATCAGTTAACAAACATGTTATAAATTTTCCCAATTATTTTTTAAGAGTAAGGGTTATAAAAAGAGTTGTACAAGTAAAATTAGGCTCATTAGTAACAAGTGGCTTACTATAAAATATTAATTATAAAAATCCACAGCGGAGGATTTCTAAGCTACACATTGTTCCAGAATAAATCAGTGCGGTCCAGGGGACAACAAAGCTAATGCTTCAGATGCTTGATAATGTACCACATGAACAAATATAGCAAAAGTGATCCAAATGCTGAATGTGATAGGGATAATGTAGCATATAGGTTTTCTAGAAACTGCTCATCAGAAAGATCGTATTGATTTAAGTGGCCTTGTAAAAATCATTGGACTAGAGTCTGTACTTCATCCTTGAATAATCATTCACAGTAGTATTTGGGTCACCCCTGCTATTTAAAGCAAAGGATGTTTAGCCCAGGAAAGCAGTCTTTTAGAACAAAACAGTAAGAGGGAGAAATTTTCTTGCAGCTAAAAGCAATATCTGGCAAGATCTTGTCTGTGTATAAAAGCAAAGGAGAAAGTTACCAGCTTGGATGAGCTGGCTTAGGCCGTGGTTTCCATTTTGGCAGGGGAGGCTGGGGACACGTGTGGCTTTAAGCAGTGTGTGTGAAGGAGAAAGAGGTGCCCACAGGACATTCAGCCCCCTGTGAGCTGTGGCAGCAGGAAATCGGTGCAGGGCAGTGTATCCCCCAGCCCACCCGAGGGGCCCACAAACCCCCAGCACACCATATCCATCCACGTGCCACCCAGGAGGGGTCTGCCTCTGGGGATGGTGCCGGCAAGGAAAAGTGTGGCTGAGTGCAAGCATCCCTCTGCCACTGGGGAGAAGATCTGATCTGGGAGTGATCAGGAGTCGGAGCAGGGATCCCAGCCAAAGCCTGCTGCAAGGCCGTGTCTGCTAAGCCATGGATGCATGGCAGTTTTCTGTGGTTTTTGTGGAAAAAGAGGAGGAAAGGAGGAAATACCATTGACACACCTGGGTTGGGGGTGCCATGCCCCAGCTGGGTTACGCTAGCGCTAACTACACAGATGCGAGAAAGCATCCTGTTTCAAATCATGAAAGGCAACAGGCTTTCAATCTTCGTTTGTTTCCTCTCCTTTTTTTCAGGTTCCCTTTCGTTCGCCTCCCATGAAGACAGATGTTATGGCTTCCATTTCTCTCTCAACGGGTTAGATGTGAGCTTCCCTGGTGAATAAAAAACAAATTGGGAAAGTTTTTAATGCGGGTTCCCATTTCAGAGCAACTGCAGTGGGATGAGTCAGGCCATGCAGCTGCAGGATAATAAAGGTGAATACGTATTTTAACGAGCCCATTCCAAAGCAGATGCACTAGCAGCCTTCGCAGCGGAGAGCAGAGGGCTGCTTGGGGACCATCTGCTCCTGTGATGGTCTGGTGGCACCAGTGATGCTCTGCATCGAGCTCCTGCTTTCCCCCCGCCCTGCCCATGCTGCAGCCGGGGCAGAGAGGGACCTGCAGCCCCTGCCCAGGGGCACTTTTGCTCTGCATCCAGCTCGGGGCTGCTTGGAGACCGTGGTGGCTGCTGACTGCACAGTGAGGACACGTACAGCCCTAGATGAAACTGCTCTGCTCACTTCTGAATGCGTGGAGGCCCCCTTGCTACAAAACAAACATTTCTGACCCCTATAAAACACTCCCGCCTCCCCAAGACCTTGTGACTGTTGAACTGGGCTCCCAAACATTATTCACTTGGGTACATCTAGTGGCAAAACATGCAGCTTCTGGCTATATGACCACTCATGGCAGGAGAGCTGCATCTTTCCCTTCCATCTGTGGTTGGATACACCAGCAGCTCCCAGCTCTGCCCCCACTGCAGATAGCCCAGTCCACCCTGACATGCTTTCTGTGGTCCTAATGATACATGTATCCAGTACAAAACCAACATAACTGGGATCCACACCTCGGGTCCAAGAAAATGATAAGGAAATGGGGACTGGCTCCCCATATTGCAATGGTCTCTTATTGCATTTACTTGTAGTTAAGAGCTAGGATTTTTTTCTATAGGGATAGAAACATAAGGAACAACCAGTGCTCTGGGACTACAGAGGGTAAAACACAAATGACATTTTCCTCTAATAGGGAACAATATAGAAGAAGCAAATCTGCAGACTGCAGAGGTCTCTGCAAGTAAGGTGCTTTTCACACAGGCTGCTTAGGGTCTAGCTCTTCCGTCCTCTTCCATTCCTTAATTCACATTCAAGCAAATGCTATCGAAGATATAGACCGTTCCTTAGCAAAGTAAAGGTTACAGCATAATCAACTGCTGTTAGTGGTGTTACTCTATGAGATAATGAGATCCTGATGTCCACACTCAACTGATCACCAAAACTGTTCCTAGAATCTGTACACTACGTCATCACTGTTGTCAGCAGCAGCAGCAGCATGTTACCTAGTGACTCGGATTTGGTCCCTCCATGGTCTGCAACTCCCAGGCTTACCCTTGGGATGGAAAGGGTCGCACCTGCACCTGATAATCCCCTTTCATTTGTTCACAAGAACTCAGGCTTGAGAGTGGGAGCTGCAGCTAAAGGAGGGCACCCAAGCCCTCGCACTGAGTGAAGTGCAGCTGGAATGAATTGCACATGCTGAAGGATGGGAAGAGGATGGCAAGCTACCAAGTTTGTAGAGGGCTTTTTGTCTTAACAGCTTCTGACTGAATAAAGCCATGCTGGAGTGTAGCAAAGGCAATGATGGGATGTGTTTTATTCACCCTCCTCAACTTCATGAGTTTCCGAGTGGTGTGTGACTAGTAAGCCTCACTGACCATTTGTCAGGCTGAGCTCAGAGCCAGTCTGTAGCAGTATAAGGTAACAGTGGCCCTGATCACCTAATGCGGAGAAACATATCTTCTTCCATACTAGACACAGTCTCTAAATTCCACTCCTGGAATAAATTTCTAGGGTAGTTAGAGGAACCGGGCTGTATGTGTCAAGTTTTCTTCCCCAGACCAGAGTCCCAGCAGACCATGGCTCCAGTCATCTCCCCTTTTCCCCTGGTATGGGCTGGATGCATACTGGGCAGGCATACAAGCTGTGGATAACGGTGAGCCAAACCCCTCATCCACAAGGTGTTCACCAAGAACTAATGCACTATCAGCTCATTTTTATTAATTTTTACTTTGGAGTTCTTGTGCCAGCAACAATGCAAATATTGACTTCCTCCTGGAAGTACAAAGGTTTGCAGACTGTCCTGGTTGGGGCTGGCCTAGAGTTCCCGTTGGTCTGGCAGCGGGAGGAGCTGCAGCCCCCTGAGACCCCAGGGGCTCCCCAGGGCCCAGTGCCCTCACCTGTGTGCGGGGGCGGGGGGAGCACAGCTGGAGGGCTGGGCCCCGATTGGCCGATAGTCCATGTCATGTGACATTGTGCTCACTATATAAAGGCAGGAGAGGGCCAGGAGGGGCTCTCACTTCTGGGAGTGTGGCTGTGGGGCCTTTGTGTTCGGGATTGCCAGCTGGGAGCAGGTGGGTGTTGGTTGGTGGGAGGTGAGCAGCTGTATGGTACATTACCTGTTGGTACTGGTGTCACATTGTTCCGTCACTGTTGTTAAGCTGTTTTTACCTCCACCCGCGAGTCTCCCTTTGCCCCTCCGATTCCCTCCCCATTCCCAAGTGGGGGAGGGTGGGTGAGCGACTGCGGGGCGTTTAGCTGCTGAGTAGGCTCAAATGGCAACAGTCCTTTTTGGCGCCCAACGTGGGCCCAGAAAAAAAACACATAGTCTACTTAAACCAGCTCAAAAGAATGTAGAGATACTGACTTCCATTTCAGCAAGTTTATTCTGGTCTCATCTCCCTGGGTTAAGGATTAACATAAATGTTTCTTGCAGGGAGTGAGCATAGATAGCTTATGCTCTGAACCCCAGCACATACATGCCTGATGTGACAGTGCAGCATCTTTTTCTTGGCACAATGGCCAAGTTTTCAGGGGACCTTTGGATTTTGCCTGAAGTGGAAACATCATTGCTGTATGTTAACTCTTCTGTCACACCAAATAAATGAAATTGTAGAGAGGTAAAGAAGAAAGCATAGGACAGGTGGACCTGAAACCTGTGAAACCCTTTGGGGGAAAATGCCTAAGAGCAAACCACTTTCCCAATACTGCAAAGACTGATCTGTCTGCTGGTCTCCCAGGTGGCCCATCTCTCCAGGGCACTTGGTGTCTCTCAGCAGAACCATGGGATTTGTCTGACTTGAGAAGGCAGCAGCCCTTGGACGGGCTGCTCCAGCCTTGCTGGGGTAAGCACACACCCTCCTGAGGGACACAGGTCAGCCAGAGGTGCCCTCCGGGGTGGACTGGCAAAACTCCCTCCTGCACTAAAGGGACAGTGCTCTTTTGAGGTGAGGGTGGGGAACATGCTTCAGCAGGATGCTGGGATCCTTCCAGAAAATCCAGAATCCTCACACACACAAAACTAGTCCAGTTGCATCCTCCTCTCCCGTTCAAGGAGATAGCACTCATGTCAAAGAACCTCCTCTGATCCTGACAGCTCTCACATCAAAGGAGAGGATGCCAACAAGAGCTGGAGTTAAATGAGAAATTGGTTAAGTAGAGCTACCATATAATGGTGTAAATTTGATATCTTACTGTTGAAAGGGAGAGGAGATTAAAAATCTACATGTCTCAAATTCTTTAAAATTACAATGTCATTACTCTAGTACTCTCTGGAGGTTGTACAATGACAGCAATACAGTAGTTTAGGCCAACGTTGACCATCTTAACAGGGTACAACCATGGCTTCCCAACCTTTTGGCCTATTTCAGTCTTCTTTGCTGAACTATGGTCCAACAAGCAAGTTACTGAAAAGAAACTCCTTTAATTTGCACTATGGAAATGACAAATCTGGTCAGAGGAAATCTGATTTTAAAAGGTAAGTAGGTTTATATATGTAGAAGAGTAAATAATCTCTCTCCCTACACCTTCAATTAGTTCACAGTAACATATGAATGTGACCATGGCCCTGGTGGAAAAAAAAAAAAAAAAACAAAACACCTCAAAATTAATATATTAGCTGCACAAACTAGGCCTGAGGCAGACTTCTAGCCCATCGCTATTCAGGGAGCTACTGTGCACTGCTTGTATAGCACTTCCATCACACTAGCTAAGCCAAAGCTTTTAAAAAGATAGATTGTATTAAGAGTATTCCCCCTTACTTCCCAACATCAGTACCCTAACATCATTTCCAGGGCTGCATGATTACACTCCCTTGAAAAGAAAGCACTCAAGTTCAGAAGATGACTTGAAATAGCCATATCCACTCCCTTCTAACACCCACCAGCTGTACATGTAAAATAACAAGCAGGCTATGAAAACAAACTGCACACCTTGATATTTCTACTATTCCTGACTACGGTTAAGAGGCTGTAAGTAGAAATAATAAAAAGAAAATGAAAGCAATCATCATACAAACCGCCTGTCCATTTTTCCCCAAGCAGGTTTATTTGCCTTTGATAAAACTAAACAGCTGTTAAATGTCTGACAGATCTTCTGCAGACGGTTATATTTTGCAATTTTCTTCAAATGAACTTTGTGATCTGTAAGTATTTTCCAGTTCAAAGTTTACAGAGTTGTATGGAAGTAAGAGCCAATTTTGATTCCTTTGAAACCAATAGGAATTTTGCCATCAGCTGTGGTACAAACAGAGATGCAACGTTCTTAGCATAGAGAAGTTTTCAGGGGCCAAAGTATCTGTCTTAGCTTAAGTTTTCAGCTTTATATACCAGTTTTCTCACCTGATATGCAGGGTATATTCAGCTCCAAATGGTTTTATTGGAATGAAGATCGTATTAAGGATCAGACCCTTTACAATTGAGCCGCTCCTCTGCTATAGAGGAGAGCCTAATGAGTTTCTACGTACAGCATTTTATTTTTAATGTGATAACTCTTGATGTGCAGACATTACACTGGCAGTCTGTATGAGGTGAGCAGGCCCCAGTGAGCAAGGCTGGGGAAGGGCAGCAATAATCTCTGCTCAGATGCTGCCATGCTGCAGCCTCCACCGACGCTTTAGGGATCTGTGTCTCCAGCCACCAACGTCGTGTGGCTGCCCTTGCTGTTGTCACTGCTGATTTCCCTTGGGTTACTCCAGGAGTAGATAGGTTTGAAGGATTGTTTCCTACTGCCTCACCCTCTGGAAATGCTTTTATGAAATGGTAAAAAGGTTGATTGATTGATTGATTGATTGATTGATTGATTGATTGATTGAAGCAGATAGGCAGGTAGGGCTTT